TTAAGGGCCTGGCTTTTGTTTAACATCATTTTCCAAATATTCCTTTTCCTTTAGTGAATCCTTTCCATTCCAGTAACTTAGCTTTCCAGTTATTAGTGATAAGCTGTTAAAAATTACCATGAAAGTTCCAAAATTGACGAATCCGGTGTAAAATCTGGTTTTCAGGTCATCTCCTTTCAGGTCCTCTGCTGTGAGCAGAGGAAGATTCACTTGAACTCCAAAATCTTTCATTTCAACTGTAGCTGGAACACCACTGTTAGTAGAATTGGAACAAAACTGAATATCTTTATCTCTTGATCCATCCTTGGAAATACCGCCCGAGTCAAAATTGCATGACGTGGTTGAAATATAGTCATGGAAACAGTGATGGAAGTTGTTTCCATTGCACACTGCTTGTTTGGTGCTCGATGAGGATTCAGCTAGCTCTTGACAAGTTTGCACTTTCGAAGATATCATTGATCCCCTCAATCTGTTAGGCAAGGGTCTATTCCGTCGAAGTAAGGATTCCTGGACTGGCTTCGAGGGGAACAAAGATGGAAACTGACACCAGAGCTTCGGGCCTTCTTCGCCTTTAAAATGCAAGCTGCAAACTCGAGTTCCAGACTTTGCAGAAAAATTTTGACGCACATTTCTGAGCCTTGAAATCCAAATCCTTCTAGCTTTAGTCTCCTTTGGAAGTCTGTGAAGTTTTACCGCCTTTCCATTGACGATTTTGCCACTATAACTATGGCAAAGTGGCACACAACAATAAATCGCTCCCCAAGGAACTGTCTCCTTAGCCGCCATATTGGATGTGTACTTACCATAGCCTTGCTCTAGAGCTAAGGTTTCCCAGTCGACTTTGCGTTTGAAATATCTTGAGAAAGGGCTATCGTTATGCGTTTTGTTGATGACGAGTGGAATGTGCACAAGCACCTAATAAGACTTCAAGTCTTGGCTACAACACAAACTACAACACGTGAGCGCTTACGGGCAGCACACGATATTGGGAGCTCCGCATGTTTTTGCCGATTTCTCACTAATTCTCAATCGGACTCTCCTCCATCTTCAAGCCACAGCCCTATTTACGTCCTACTATGGCTTTTTGCTATTCTAGACAAATTTTACAGTCTATTTTGTTTTCTATTGCTGTCTCAAGACTGGATCCCAGTGTATGGCAGCGATTAATTCATTTTGGCATCTCGAGGGTGAAACCTACTCGGCGCGGAACTCGTAGTGGTTGAAGGAGATCATGCACTACCACCTCTACCACTTTTCTGCATCGTACTAATAATTTCTGCATCACTCCTTCTCTGGAATCAACTTTTTGTTCACCAATGGTTGGAAATTTACCCAAAAGACGTGTTTTGCATATTCCTCCTCCGTCTCAATTAAATATTCAACTGGACACCTTTCCCATCGGTTCAATAAACAATCAACCCGTCACGGCAATCAGATCACAAAATCGCCATCGCACCTCAAGTACGGCACCCGAGGCCGTAATCCGTCCAATATCTCAGTGATAAACTGTCGACCACGACGAGAGGAACACGAGTTTGGCAGGAACATCTTACTAGCAAACACACAGTCGTTAGCGTCTAAAATCGACGAATTGCAATCTGTGATGTTGAATGTAAAGCCTGATTTAGGTTTCTTTACAGAAACTTGGTTACATGAGACCATCAGTGACAGCCAAGTTAATATTCCTGGTTACTCGTTTATCGCAAGAAATCGTTGTGTAGATATCCATGGTGGTGTAGGACTTTACATCCATGATTCTATCAATGAATTTTGAAATGAATGATTCTATCGATGAATTTTCAGACCCTGATTTTGAGTCACTTTGGGTGTGGCTTCGGCCAATGAGGCTGCCTAGAGGATTCCCCTGCCTGGTTGCTGGTACTGTCTACCACTCAGTTAGGCGTTAACAATAGTGGTATGCTTAACCACCTTACTACTACACTGACTGGCATTGTGGGCCAGTATCCCGGTTGTGGTATATTTGTGTGCGGTGATTTTAATCGGTTGAGCCTTAGCCGCCTCACATCACAGTTCAAGTTGAAGCAAATTATTGATAAGCCAACGAGAGGCGATAAGATGCTGGACCTCGTGTTGACCAACTTGTCACATACGTATGACGAGAACGCTGTTTACACCCTGCCACCGTTTGGTCTTTCAGATCATAACATGGTCATCATCCGCACTAAAAAGAGGCCATCCCGCGCTGGGCCTAGCAGAAAGTTAATTTCGAGGCGTGACACACGTGCTAGTAGGAAAGCCGAACTAGGAAGGTTCTTTTCAGCCGTTGATTGGTCCATTTTGGATTCTACCCCTAATATACCTGCATCAAGAGTCTCCGATATCGAAACGCGCGCAATGCATTCTGGGATCGTCTCATATAAAAAGTGGGCACCAAGCGTGACAGCGGCCATCTTGATAACTAAAGCATCGTCAACATTTATACACTTTTACCTCGCGATTTTACAATTTTTTCCAGTTTAAATTAGATCATAGTTTGTATATAGTTTTAATAATAGTTTGTATATAGTTTTCACTAGTTTGTATATAGTTTTCATATAGTTTTCTCGTCGTTTTTGGCGTGGAAATGAGCGAGACAAGTGAGCTTTCCCTCGAGGAAGTCAACACATGGAAGGTGGACGCTCTCAAGTTATTTTGCCGTAAACGAAATCTTAAAACTTCTGGAGCTAAAGCTGAACTTGTAGCCCGTGTGTTTGCAGCATCAGAGATGGGAATCCAAGTACAAGCATCGGCTAAAGAACTAATGTGCATCACGGAGTCTGAGAGAGCGAAGCTATTGTTTACTCCTGAGGGCAGCAAGCTTCCCGATCCTCTTGGGCTAAAGGACGGATGGATTGATGAAAAAGATGGGCTAACATCATGGCCTCCTATATTTCTAAGTGACATTACGAAATATCTGATGGCTGATCATCCTGGAAAGGATATTAAACTGCACGAACGGGTCATGAATGAGTACAAAGAGGGGAAAGCATACCGCTTATTTGACTCGGGCTTTCTGAAAGAAGTTTTCTACCATGAACTAGAAAATATGGATTTTTGCTTCTTGAAAGCAAAATGTACGCATTCGATGAAGGTTGGTGATACACCACATACATCATGGATTTGTTCAAGAAAAAATGGAGAGATTATCAGTGCCTACTGTACCTGTACTGCTGGGTATGTTAGACTTTCTGTTTTATAAGACTTTAACTTGTAACTGATGCAAAATATAAGCCTAAAATATCATGTTTATCATATACCTCGATTTTATGACTAATGTTGTTGGTCTAAGCTCAATATATATTATACTTTAGAATGTTTAAAATATTATGTCTATCATATACCCTAACTATTTGTTATTTCTTGTTTCAGTATGAGTGGTTCTTGTATTCATGTGATGGCACTGCTGTTCAGAATTGAAGCAGCAAACCGTAATGGTATGACAAATCCTGCATGTACGTCCAAAGAGTGTGTGTGGAATGTTCCAATAGGAAACAAGACTGTAATCAAGCCCTCTAGAATTTGTGATATGGAGTGGAAGGCTTCAAAGCTAAATAAAGGTATGTTATTATGTTTAAAATTCTAAACAAAGTATTTACAGTATGTATACTGGATAGACATAAGTGTTATCTGGGGACATAAATAAGAAAGTTCTTATTAGCTTGTAACCTAGCAATTAATTTACTTTTATTTTGTGTTTTTCTAGAGACGACCAGACCTGCCATCGATAGTCGCCGAAAGTTATTCAATTCACATGAAGAGTTGAAGCCCCTGACTCCAAAAGGAAAGAGGAAGTCGTTTTATAATAATTTGAAGGACTTGTTGCCAGAATCGGCATTCATCAAATTAGCAACGGCTGAGTTTGAGGAACCGTGTTCAACTTCCGTTACAATAGAAATTAATACTGAAGTACCTGAATGTGTAATGCCTAAGTCATCAAAGAAAGACTTAAGTGCTGATGATATACATCTGATTGAACAAGGCACCATTGGTCAGTCTGAGAATGAGGCATGGCACGATTACAGAAAAGGCCGATTAACTGCCTCTAATTTCTATAGAGTGTACACAAAAGTTGAAACCCTTAAAACTAAGGGGGTGATGCACAGGAACTAGTGGACACAATCCAGGGTAAAAGTAATGGACCGTCGGAACATTTACCTGCTCTAAAATATGGAAGAAACATGGAGAAAGTTGCTAAGGATAAGTATGTGAAACTGTTTCAGAGGGAGCACAAAGATGCAAAATTCAGAGAGTGTGGACTATTTATTGATGAATCTGACCAATTCATTGGAGCATCCCCTGATCTGCTTGTTGAATGTTCCTGTTGTGGATTAGGGGTGCTAGAAGTGAAGTGCCCTTATTCTATTGTTAATGATTTACCATCAGAAGACAATCTTTCCTACCTGGTAAAGATTAATGGCAAAATTGTCTTGAAAGAGAAGCATGCATATTTTGCACAGATACAGGGACAAATGGCTGTGACAAAGAGAACATGGTGTCACTTCCTGGTCTACACCCAAAAGGGTTATCATCTGGAGCTAATCAAGTTCAATAATGATTACTGGGAAAAGATAAAGCAAAACCTAATTTGGTTTTATAATAAGTATTTAAGTGAATGAATGCTCGTTAATTATAACTTGATACAAAACTTTATTTACATGATGTAAACACTAAAAATACATTTGTACATTTTATATACAATTTAGAATTTTTACAATTTCATATCTGGAAAAACTGGTCTGACAGTTCTAAATTGAACTCAAATAGTCTCTGAATAGAACAGTAAAATTGTCTGTTGTGGAAACTGGAATGGATGAATCAAATCATGAAATTTTATACAAGTAATGCATTGACCACACTTCAGTATGATTGAAAATGTTACAGTTTGATATTGTTTGCAGTTATATATATAGTAATAATAAATAATATATTATTTATTTGTGTTCAGCGACACATGAGCTGTGAAATGAAGAAAAATATTTACAAATTATATCTAATGATTG